TGTTCATCTTGTTGTACTAATTAGTTATGGAAACTTGGACCGATGCATATGTGTGCCTGGTCCTACGTTGTAGATGACTGACTGATTAATCACTCAACTCATATATCTTTAGTGGCATTTCTTTTCCTAAAACCATTAATTGTAATGTTTTGTCTAATTCTTGTAATTACCTAGACCATGTCTTTTAAATAATACCGATGCATTCATAATATTAAGCTGTCCTGTTTGATGAATCTTAGCTACACTTCAGGTTATCCATTCATTCAGGCTTCACTCTGCTGAAAAGGTTGAATAAAAGTAGTATGGGACAAGCATGTACAATCTTTATGTTAATTTTGTCATGATGTGTTTAGAGAAAGAATAAAACTGTACCTAATGAGCTGTGGCATTTTGTGTTAGCAGCGTTACTGGACAATCACTCAGAATTATCGGTTCTGAAATCTGTAAACTTCACTTTGTCCTATAGTCTTGCTTTGCTGGTTGTAATATACTTTAAAGCACAAACAATACTTCTGAGAAGAAAGTTTATAATGCCGATCACGAGGCTCTAAAAGTACATGATTCTATTGATTTACGTTCTATTACATTTGCTTCACGAACGTATCGGTTGATGAGGTGTTATATCCCCTGGTGAATTAAGAATGATAACTCTAAGGACTATTTATCGACCAATGTATTATGACTATTTCTTATTGTACAGTTGTTACGTAACTAAATTATTCATATTCGTGTTTTCTATTATTTTGATCTTTGATTTATGATCATACGATTCTTGAGTTATAATCAGTTTATTGATTACTTTGGTTTGTATAAAAACCCAGTATGTTTGTAAATAATGATTCATATTGTCGAGGCTGTTATTTGTGTTCTGCACTCAACTGGCTGGGCTAGGCAGTTAGGAAGGACCGAATAGCAATCAAGACTGCTCGTACGTATTTTCTGTATCATTGCACGTTTCATATACAATAACGATTGTTATACGAGTCATAACATGAGGTTTTAAGGAAAGAAGGTAACTATTAATCAACACATCTTTAAAACAGTAATCCACTTTCATCATCATCAACTGCTTCTGCACTTATTTCTATTATCTCACACCAGTGGTTACAATGAACTCAATCTAACAACAACTTTATTCAACGGGACTTCATCCCCGTCTGCTAGATTTCTCAAACTTAGAGTTCGAACTTGTTCTTTAGACTGAAGATGTACGTTGTATTTCTGAGAAGCACATGAATAATCCAAATGTGGATATACTGTTGACATTATCTATGCAGTGTGACAAGAATGCTGAGGTAATTTTAAGCTCTTTAGTATCTATTTGTAGTTTGATCTTCTACAACGTAGATAATGTAGTGATCGTAAAGTCCCAGTGTAGCGTAGCAGTATCTTCAGTCTGACGTAAAGAAAGCTACAGAGATGTTGAAATGTAATATTAGAAGCAATTTATAGATTTTCACAAAAACTGACTGGTTAACGATTACGGATATCAGATGGACAATTCCAAATACTGACTAGTTTTTTTATGAGGAAGGACAAACTAATCACCCAATATTCAATGAGCAATGATTCTAATCTATATGTTCTATAAAGCCTTAGGATAAAAGAGTATTTGATGCCTCTGCAGTATTGAATATGAGGAAACCAGTAGCATTTCTACCACGAAATGTTACTGGGTTCTTAGCGCTATATTTTCTTCAATATGGGGGGTTTCAGTTGCCACACTCATTCTTTTTTGCTACGGTTTTATCCGTTTACTGCAACATTCGCATTTCCAATGTAGTATATGTTTCCAAAATGCAGTGCCGGTAGTCGCTTTTAGGTAATACTACGTACACTACTTACTTACTTACTTACACCTGTTACCCCTCGTGGAAGAGCATAGGCCGCACACCAGTACTCTCCATCCAACTCTGTCCTGGGAAATCCTTTCCAGTTGTTAACCTTTTCATATCTGCTTCTACTTCCCGGCGTAATTTGTTCTTTGGCCTTCACTTTTCCGCTTTCCTTCCGGATTCCAAGTTAGGGATTGCCTCATGATGCAGTTTGGTGATTTCATTAATGTATGTCCGATCCACTTCCAACGTCTTTTCTTAATTTCCTCTTCAGCTGGAGGTTGGTTTGTCCTCTCCCATAAGATGCTGTTGCTGATAGTATCCGGCCAGTTAATGTTGAATAATTTTCGTGGACATCTGTTTATAAATACTTGTACCTTCTTGACGATGTATGTAGTTCTCCGCGTTTCAGCACCGTACATTAGGACTGTCTTGACGTTCGTATTGAAGATTCTCACTTTGAAGTTAGTTGACAGTTGTTTTAAGTTCCATATGTTGTCGAACGGTAGGAATGCGGTCCTTGCTCTGTCAATCCTTGTATTTATATTTGCTTCATATCCTCCTTGTTCATCAATGATGCCTCACAAGTACGTGAATGTTTCTACATCTTCCAGAGTTTTCCGATCAAGTGTGATTGGGTTGGTGTTCTCGCTGTTGTATTTAAGAATCTTGCTTTTTCCTTTGTGTATGTTGAGGCCCACTGATGCAGAGGCTGCTGCTACATTTGTTGTCCCTACGTACACTACTGTATTAAATTTCAGTAGTATGGCCTCGAAAATGCACATAAAATGCTCTCAAAACTGCTAGGTGGTGCCATTAACTGGATTTTCTTTCTTTTCTGCATCATGTATTTGTTACCTTCAGTGGATACGTTTGCTCCTAAACTGGTTTCTAAAACGAAAAGTACGATTTGTTTATCTCGGTTTGTTTGTGACTCACCGCTATGAAAACTTTCACACTGGATTACTAGTTGGGACATATTCTGTGTTAGCAACAAAGTAGCATCAGTCAGAATCTCATACTAGGTGTGTTTTATATCCTCAAACAAAGATTTGCACAATGTTTTCAGATTGAACTTGCCATATTTTGTTTCCATACGTCAAAATACTGACTGATTGATATCTAATATACTAATCTGTGATTTTATAAATGAAAAATCTATCTAACTTGTATTAGTATTCTCATTCTTTTGTAAAATATTATAATTATCCCGAAAGAGCACATCAAAAAAATTGAAAATAGTGAAGCTCTTTGGTCGGAAAGTTACTATGTTAACTTTAAATGATTTTAGCAAGTGATTCAATTAGTATACCGTAATGCTTGGTGAATTCAGAATTAGATAAGAATGAATAAATGTTAGTAATCTGTTGGTATAATCTGTTATGTGGTATTTAATTACTTACGTAAGCTATTATACTGGAGATATGCTACGTTATGTAAATGAGCAAAAGGGCTTGAAACGACTTTCCAAAACCTAATCTTGATTGTTTACTTCACAGAGTTTCATTTTAGTACTGACCACTTAGATGTTTCACTTAACGAATAATAATTAAATATAAACGTAAGGTTGGCTTTTTTCAAATAAACTGTGTCGTGATGTATCCGTATAATTTATTTGGTTACAACACAATGGTGATTAAGTCTTCAAAAATAAATGTTAACCAGCTCTAAAACCTTTGTCTGTATATTGGTATACTACTCTTTCTTGTACACAAATATTACGTTCTCCGGAAGATCGTTTGGGTATAATAAATTGAATGGACAGCATACACTTTTTTATAGTCAGCCGGAACTGTCCTTTCAAAGCATTTTAATAACTCACTATTCACCATTAAAATTTCATTGATTCTTTTTGTTAAAATAACTTCTTTAGTGGTTTATATGAATCGTAGCTAAAATGACACTGTTTAATCTGGTATATAAAACATCAGGTGTATGAACAAGTCCAGATTGTCAGAGCAAAACAGATGGGAGGAGGAGGTTAGTTACTTTTTAAAAGTTGTTATTTATACCATCCAGTTTTATATCAAGTATGGTTATCACTAATAACAACGGCGTGTAGTTAACTGTTGAATATTACAGTTGGGTATGGTCCCTACTTTTGAATAATACCAGGAATACTTATATATATATATACTGGTGGTTTAGAAGTTGTCAGTCAATACGTATTCTTACAAGGTTATCTCTTTCAACACGCAATTTGACGATAATCAGAATAATCCACTTGATTCTGATTATAATCTAAGGCTCCATGATCACTGAAGTATGATACGTATAACATAAACAGTATTGAATGTCATGATTAAAACACATTTCACATTTGATGACCTAAAATAATACTGGAAAGCGAATCCAACATTTGAAAATGACTGAAGGAGTGCAAATTACATCTTGATGACAAGTTCTAAGTAGAACGAAATGGATCCCATTGCCAGCTACATTCCGTACATTCTATACTGACTGAGCAACGATTTACTGATGGATTATTGATGGCTTTATTTACATTTGATAATCATGGCTTTAATTATTTCTGTGAATCAGCTAGAACCAGATTTTTAAGTGAATCATTTGAGCTATTCAATTTCATTTGTCAATATTTTCACAAATATTATGTGTTTAATTGCTTTTATAATCATCAAATGATTTCATTTTATTGATATTGTCTACCCTTACAAAGAAATGGACCTAGAGAAGCATACAATTATGCAATTTAATGATCAAAAACAGATTTTACGTTTCACAAAGCTGTATAGGGCACCATTTACCATTATTCCTTAAGACCAATTATGTAAGACCAATGCAACTAACCAGCAACCTATTTACATTAACTTTAAAGACCACCTATGACAAGTCTAAATAATCAACATAAGTCTTTCTAGAACAAATTATAAGGAAAAATAATAATATTAAAATCATTACCTAAAATGAAATACATTAATGTTATTGTATTAACATCGTTAGCAAACTATGTTTCGTATTAGTTTAAATACATCAACTATATTTACTACCACTCACATACTGTTTCCTACTCATATTTCACTTATTTCTGCAATTACAATATTGCTGGTTATTGAGAATCATGGTCTTTTCTGTCTAAAATATGTTTAGCCAGACACATTAAGTTAAAACAATTTAATTGGTTAACTTTGTTGTATCGATTTGACAACCAGTTATGATTATGTCTATTGGTCTATTGTAATATGGAAAAAATAGGAAGAACATTTATAGAAGCAAAGAAATAAAATATGTTTATTGTTCATTGTTTCATAAACACATAACACATGGCTTGGATATCACGTGTAATACAGTTTCATTGAATTATTTTATTTTTGGGTGAAACTATGACTAATTATCAAAAGAATGTGGGAATCCAACCTTTGAAAACATTTTTAGCTCGTGCAATATATGATAATCTGTCAGAAAATCCAAAAGAATTAAATTTTTCTCGTGGTGATTTAATCACAGTTTTGGATAGAAATCCATCTGGTTTAAACGGTTGGTGGGTATGTAGTATTCGTGGTCAATTAGGAATTGCACCAGGTAATCGTCTCGAACTAATAGGTATTGTAAATGTAAGTACCTGTAAGTATCTGTATAATTTCATTAGTTCGAAAAAAAATACTCTCCCTCTGAGTTTGATTTTTGCAAATCATTTATTTATAAAGCAAAGGAACAGCCTGTCGGTACTTAAAGTAACAATATTCTTTTATTTATAAATTGTTACTCTTGGCTCCTCTTTCAGATGAACTAATTAAACAAAGCCACAACTGTTACACAATTAAAGTGCTTTATAGATGTACTTGTTTTAAGTTATTTTAGATTCTCCAATGCCATATGAAACAGCTTTAATGTGTTCGTCCTTCATTAAAATAATTGCAGTAATAGATTTTTACTATAACATTATTTGAGGTCATATTATTGGCAAAGACTATGAGGCTAGATATCTCCTGTAAATAAAAATGAATTATACTTTAGTTCACACTCGTTAATCATGGAGCTCATTATCAGCCATAATGGTGGCCCAGATTCAGCATAAATCACAACTGCACAAGGGTCTTGGATATTTCATATTTTCTCAAATCATTCAAATGCACCTGGAATTCAAATGGACTAGTATCTAGATTGTCATCTCAAGACCACCAAATTGCTAAGGAACACTAGATTTTCCTCAATACCTGTTTGAGTAGAAGTGAAACTTTAGAGTTTCTAGTGAATTAGTTGCCTGGAAATATATGCCTGTCTGCCTTAATGAACTCAGTTTTTTCCACTGCTATTGGCTCTCATCGTAAAATTATGTGGTGATTGTTTTCACTGTTTCAATTTGCTAAATTTGACTAGTGTCAGTCAAAATTTTTAACATAGTAAATGATCAGAAATGTGACTTGTTCATATGTCTATTATGTTTTGGTTAAATAGTACCTTGCTAAGTCACTCAAAGATGGTAATATAATAGTATCCAAACTGCAGTTCAACCAAATATTATTTTATTACAATGATTGAGCGAAATTCTGTTTGTTCAAAACCGGTATCTATACCCTCAACCATACTTAGTCAATTATTCTCACGTGACTCTCGAGTTGACAACGGAGTTTGTTACTAATTATCGTATTCACACTTATCATTTTTGTTGCCACTTTAACACCCAGTAGTAACAATAAATTATTTATTCATTTTAACTGATAATCATTACGTAGTCTCAAATCATTTATTATGAGGAATGTTTGGAACATTGTTATACATTGCAGGAAACAGAACAACCAACCCTTTCTTTAGGGAGCTTTAAATGATTTCGATTGTTTCAGTGATATTTTTTTTACAATTACCCACATTAATAGGGAGACTTGTTAACTTATATGAGCATATAGAGACTTCCTTTTAACTTCTACTGGTTTGTTGATTGTTTGTTACCCCACTACTTCAACTAAACAGATGACATTAAATGATCATCGTATTTGTTGACTCTTCAAAAATACAGTTACTTAAATTGTATTGGGTTTTGTATGATCTGGGATTATATTATCGGAATTGTAATTTATTCTTTGCATGTACATTTATGATTAAGACAAATTGTCCAGTTAACTGTATAAACCTATCGCCATTTGTCTTCCTCATTAATGTCATTGTCGTTAGTGATATTGGAATATAACGGGAATTCTCATTCTCTTTTCAGCCATCAAACATTCAAATATACTCTCATCTGTGTTGAGGGTGATGGTTTGAGGGAGGAGGGCGCTGGTTTCAGATCAAATTTTGTCTTAACCCCTGATTTCTATTTAGACAATTTGAATTTCACTTTATGTGAACCGGTTCTGCTATGAAACATTATCTATGATTTTTTAAAAATGTTTCCGAACGATTTCAGTATTATCGGAGTCTGTCTTGTAGCCTGATACTATAGAGTGTAGACTTGTGACCTCGTATTTTACAAGACGTTTTGGATTTCTTGTTAGTCGGACAGAAAGACAATCATGCTCACCTATGTCGGCTTTTGTTTCCCGAGAAGGTAGTTCGATGTATGTTGAGTCACGAATCAAAAATTTTGTTTTGTTGACACAATTAAATTACGAATCCTTCGGTATTGTACCTTTCATATGAATTAGATTCCATTTCAATGTGTCTGATGTTCTAAACAATACCCTGATGTTGCATATATTGAGTACCCATTTGATCTCATCGGATATGTGTAATCTGTATACAACAATGACTCTAGTGTTTCATGTTGTTGGAGTAAATTTCCATTTACGTTTATTATTATTTTCTATTTTTTAGACAGTTTTCGGAAAGTTATTTAGTTTAAATATTTTCGTGATGTTCATTAGTTTCTTTATAATTTCATTTATTTTAAATACGTGTGTCCTCCTAATAAAGCTGGAGAGAAATGATACTTTACGTTAATAGGTTTTGAGGATTTAAAATCAAAATGTTTTTCCTCATGTGTTATCTTCCTTTAAACAGTCATATTAACTTATCCGTTTCCTTACCATCTAATTAGGCGATGAGAGAAGGTAATTCACTATTGTCTGATTCTGAAGTAAATTTGATGTAGGGTAAGTCATCGTTTAGTTTCTGCGAAAATGAGTAGTGTACGTCATGTCGTGATATTTCACAATTATGGCCGACGTATCTTAGCTGTATTATTGCTTCAAGGACGTTTATGAAGATATTTTCTTTAAATCTATTTATGAATAAATTTGTAACTATTGGTGATACAGGTAAACTCACCGCAACTTTATTGGTCTGTCGATACAATTTTTCTTTAATTAGTCTTTAAACTGAATTTTAAACTCTTGGTGACCTTACTGGTGTTCAGTGGATGTCTTTCTGATAAAGTCAAATCTGATTATAACAAACCAAAAATAATAACAAGTCTTTCAACAATAGAAACTCTAGTAATATGGCTTAATATAATTTCATTTTTCTCAAGTTTATGGTTTGCTATTTTAAGTCTAAAAACAAATTAATCTTTAATTAACTGTTTTGTATTTTTAAGAGAGGTTTTAATGTTTAGAATAAGAATCTGGAGAGATTATATGTGTGTGAATTTTTGAAATTCACAACTGGTCTTCATAGGACTGAAAGCTTGTATATCTTTACTTGATCGTAGAATCTTGAGGGTCTATAGGATTTCAGCCTTAGTTTCAATTCTTGAGGAAGTCTGTTTGTGCTGAGTCTTATCTTGCTGATTTTGATGAACTTCTTTTCTTCAGTAACTAAATATAATCCATTGGTTAAATGTTCAAATGACTCGTCATAATGAGTTTTATTTATAATTACAGTTATATTCTCTGTACTGAATTTATTTTTCACAGTGATTTTTTCTTCTCTTAAGTTTTAAAGAACTTTATATTCCTGTTTGGTGATATCAAAAATTACTTTTTGTTTTGCCATTAAAATATGCTATATTTTCTTGTCAATCATTTAAGAGTAAGTTTGATGATCTATTTCGTTTTCAAACCCTTAATGGCTTTCATGTAATATCTTCAGTTAATATCTTTTCTGATAAGTTATCTTTTGTTTTAAATTTGTTCTTTTCATTTGTTGGAGTGTTCTATGAATTTTCAATCCCTTTAATTCTCGGTGTTCCTATTAAAATAACTGCCTATATTTTACATTGTTATGGATTAAAAACCAAACCTCGTTGATAAATAAATAATATATTTGTATTTATAATATCCCAATGAGTAGAAAAATTAGATTTTCTGACGTTTCGTGACTCAGTGTAAGCCACTTCTTCAGAGAATAAATAACAAAATTAACATTGATTCAAGTTTAAATAGTACAACGGAACAACACGAATATTAGGAGCGATCAATCAAAAAACTTGGATTAATTTTAATTTGGTTATTTATCCTCTGAAGAAGTGGCTTACACTGAGTCACGAAACGTCAGAAAATCTAGTTTTTCTACTCATTGGCATATTACAAATATATCAATTTATTTATAACAATCTACCCAATGCTCAATTTATTCAAAATTATCAAACCAAAACTTGGTAACAATACCTACAAAGATCGTTTAGTTAAGTATGTTCATTAAAACAAATTATCAATATTCTGTTAAAAAATATAGTTTTAACGAATATTACTGAAATCTTATTCTAATTCAACGCTGATTATTTGCAGCTACTTATTAAACCTAGTATTTACATTTAATTTTGTGTAGAACAGTTATATTGCAATTACGTGAATAGGAAATGTTATTTTCTATGTAGCTTAAAGAAAACTACTGCTTTACATACTACTTTCCACGGTGGTTTAGCTTCATTTGACTCATGCTTTCAATTATGCGAATACTGAAATCTCCACATAACCCTTTCTGATAATAATCATATGCTCACTAGTGACTGACTTGAAGAGATATTTCGTGGAGTTCTAGTGAGAAGCAGTGACCAGTGGAGTTGAAGCCACGTCTGTTGTGAGATGCCAACTCACTGAAAACAATTGGTGAACGGTTTCTCAACTTCGTGGATCAGTTGAAGTTAGGCATTAACACCATCGGATGCCGGCTCAGTGATCTATCGGTTGAGTGCTCTGGCGTGAGATGGATATATCCTGGGTTCGAATCTCGAGTGGCGAAGTCGTGGATGCGCACTTCTGAGGAGTCTCACAATAGGACGAAACGGCAGGCAAGTGCTTCCAGGTTTTCCCTGGTGGTCTAGCCTCAATTGACTCACGCTTTCAACTATGCAAATACTGAAATCTCCACAAAACCCTTTCTGATACTACTTAATAGAAGAAAAAAAATTAATGATACTTAAGTTTTAGCTCTGATATTTTCTATATAATATTTATTTGAAAAAGGTTTCAGTTGATTTATTCCTTACCACTGTAATAGCTTTTCAGAAACTAACGTGTAGTGCATCAATGAGCCGTGAATTATTATATTGAAAAAAATTAATAATTTACAAAACCGAATATTCCACTAAAAGTTATTGAATTATAACCTAAGGTTTTCCGGTTTCATTCTATTTTCAATGAAATCATAGAAAGAATTTCATTTATTTATAATCTTGATTATTTACGCTTGTCATCATTAAGGGGAAAATAAAAATTTTCCCTTGATGTTGCCTAAATTGTTCTCTGAAAATTATGTTTGTTACTATGTGTTTTAAAAAAAAGAAACAAAATTCATGTGATCTTGATAATCTATAAATAATATTTATATTCTTGTCCATTTTTCAATCTTTAATAATTTTTATTTAGTTAGTTATATGGATTATTGCTAACATATATTAGTAAGGTTAGTATTACTTTTACCTCTGTTGAAATTATTTGATCGTGTTTGCTTTTTTTTAAACAAAAGTTGTCTGGAAACACTAGTTGCCATGACAACGCCCCAATACATTACATTATGTATGCTATAGGTTATTGGTAATTATTTAAATATTAACTCCATCTTTTGATGTAGTTCGATCAATGAACTAGTTCAGGAACACAGAGTGGTTGAATTAATTCATTTCATTAGTTTAAGTAACAAAAAGAATTCAAAAAAGTCATTGCTACAAGTATTATTTATTTTAGAATTATAAAAGTAAAAATCTTAATAATTCAGTAATAATAATAAAATGTAGCACCAACTACTTAGAGTAAAATACATATGTTATAATGTTTTTCAATGTAACCCAATTCAAATGAATAATTTACATTTTAATTAGCTTGTTTGGTTAATATTATTTATCCAGTTAGAAAGAAATTAGGTATACTGATTTGCATAAAATGGTTTCAATTTCTTTCTCTTACTTACTTATTTACTTACATCTTTTACTCAGAGTGGATTAGGATTCTCCAACTAACTTTGTTGTGGACTTTCTTTTCCAGTTCTTTTCAAGTGATATTCATTCTTTTGAAGTTTGTCTCCGATTCCTAGCGCAATATGTTCTTCATTCTAACTAGTTCCTTTTCCTGCTTGATCAAAATGAAAAAGAGAGATTTCCAAATCCCTTATCATGAAGTTTATTCTTTTATTTCTGATTTTTGTAGGATAATTAGCTGTAATCCTTACATCAGTAATAACACTAAAGACATTGTTTCTTGTTACACTTCCTTTCCTATGTTACAACTATTTCTAGTAAACTATCTCCACATTTACCGTAATTCTTATTCTTAAACCACTAAAAGAAAACTATGTTATCTTTAGAACGAATTCAACATGATTATTATACTGTATGACTCAACAAAATTTTATCAGATAGTTTTAAGATAAAAACATATTATGGTAAGACAACTCATGTTGTAGTTAAGGTCGTATTTTCATTAATCATTACTAAGTACTCCCAGATTAATTATCTCAATTATCATTAATGGTGACTAACAATCACACTTAACTGTTAAGCGTTGAAATTAAAGTTGATTTTCAAGTGTTTCAAAGTTTCATTGAAATAACACTACAAAACATTTTTATTTGTAAAAGAATATTAATCTGATGTTTGTTTGTGATAGAAAATAACTACAAATTAAATTTTAAATAGTTGGATTCATTAGTCGATCTAAACTAGACCATCTTTAAAAACCTGGAAGCACTAGATGGCCGTTTCGTCCTAGTTTGGAACTCCACAGCAATGCATATCGACGATTCTGCATGCGGAACTCGAACCCAGGACCTTTTGTCTTGCGCGCCAACTCTTAACCTTTAGACCACTGAAACGGCATCTGACGATCTCTGGTTCGAGTGCTGCATGTGGGATCGTGGATGCTCACTGCTTAGGAGTCCCGTACTAGGAAGAGAAGATCATCCAGAGCTTCCATATTTTCAAAGGTGCCCTAGCTTAGATCGACTCATTAATTCAATTTTTTAAAATTACTACAACCACCGCAAACTCCTATTCTGATAAATATTTAATCATTCCTTCAAATTACTCATTAAATTATTAAATATAAGATACTTTGTATTTATTTATTTACGATATCTTTATTCCTTCATTTAGAAAAATAAAGAACAAAATACTTCTGATGTCTATGATGATCCGACAGGATGGTGTATACCAAACGATTACAATAACGACAACAATCCAAACAACAACAAGAATAGCATTTTATGCACAAAAAAGTCTACACCATTTAATCCGCTTGAAGAAAATCGTCTTTCTATGAATCGCAACTCATATTCATTATATGAAAATGTAGATTATTATACAAAGTATCCTAGTTCTGTTGGTTTGACAGATAGTGGAAATTTCTCTAATCAATCAAGTGATGTTTCTTTCAGTATACATTCAATAAATGACGGAATAGTTGATCAGAGAATGAATCCAGAAAATTCATATGAAGATTATGAAGTAGGTTAAATCAATAAATCTATTTATAAATAAAAGTAGATATTGTTTTGTTCTCTGAATAATGAAAATTTTACTAACATCAAACAACTTTAATTTGAATGGTATGAAAAAAATCATATTTTTAACAATCATTGTAGCCATTTAGTTTATTTGGTATGTGGCTAAAACTAGAACCTAGAGCACCAATTTCATTCAATATGGGACTCATCAAATAGAAGTTCCTCAACCTATGTTGATATTCACACCAAAACTGGAACACAAAACCTTTCTCTCCTAATACCTAATGCATTAGCCACTGGGCTGCTTAGTTTAAGCAGCCACTAATTTGTTCAACTGGTATGAAGTTATTAGTAAGGATTTTTTTAATTTTTCGTTATTTATATTCAGAAATGCGATTGACCAGTCTCTGTTACCATAGGTACATTCTGAACAGATTAAATCGATATAATGTTATATCACAAGCTTTGATACATCTAAAATATGGCTAGTAGTGAAATCCAGGGATTGAGTTCTGTCCAATTGTCTGTCCTATTGTAGCCTTGTCAGTTGTATTTGCGTTTCCATAATTAAGATGTAATAAGCAGAATTGGTTAGCAGTTATGGAAAGAATAAATTTTTTAAAGAAAATAAAAATTTTCTACAAGTCCATAATGTTTGTCTTTGTATTTTACATACTGACTTCATACCATTTTTACATTTTTTTCTTTTCTAAGTACAAAGACTGTCAGACAAAATATCTGAAATCATTAGTCGCAACATTGTACTTAACTTTTTTAACATTTATGGAATGAGATTTGAATTTTTGACGATTCCTAAGTTTCATTTTTTTGAACCTTGAAGTCATGAACTGATCTTACCTAAACCACCATTTAAAACCTAGAATCACTGAACGGCCGTTAAATGCCGGCTCATTGGTTTAAAGGTTGGGTGTTCACGTGTGATTTATGTATTTGCAACTGAAACCATATGAGGTTATTCCGGTCCATTATATTCAACTATACAATACCAAATACATAGCACATCTTAGTTGCTAGAGTTTAGTTTATTTCAAAATTCCTCCTGAGATCGACTTATTCATAATGAATCTGAGTTTATAACTTACACATTCAAGGATTTCAGTCTATAAGAGTAAATATGAGTAATTAGAAAGAAAAGATGGATTTTTTTTCTTGCAAAACAATTGAAACCATTAAAAATGTAAAAACAATAAAAACAAGTAAATATATGCTATGTGTTTTGTTTTATTTCATACTAACTACTTTTGTGTTAAGATGGATACTAAAATATTCAACTATCTTAGAAAATAGTTTATTTTATTAACCAGAAATACAAACAAAATTCATTTATTTTCATAGTTGAAATCATGAGTCACTTGAAGCTAGATCACCATGGAAAACCTGGAAGCATTGAATGTCCTTTTGGTCCTATTGTGGGACTCCTCAGAAGTGCACATCCACGACCTCGCCTAGCGAGATTCGAACCCAGGACGAAATGGTGGTCCAGTGCTTCCAGGTTTTCCATGGTGGTCTAGCTTCAATTGACTCATGATTTCAACTATGAAAATACTGAAATCTCCACAAAACCCCTTCTGAAATTTCATTTAGTTTAAAGAAAACTTAATACTTTTAGTTTCTCTTAAGTGATTTATCTTTTAGGTTGTTTGTACTGTTTATTCCTTATGTTCTGTAATTAATTAAAGTGTAAATGTAAGAAAAATAAACTTTTGTACATTAAAATTAACTTATAAATAACCGTTGTGGAAAATAGTTTTGTAATTTATTTTTCAATTAAAGTAATTGTTGCTTGGAGTGAAATGTACTAATTATCTTATGTTTTTACTGACCACGTGACCTCTAGTGTAAACATCCCTTGTATATTATTCATACATTAGGCATTACTCAGTAGATTACACCAAATAAGGCCATGTGTAAATATCGATGAAATTTGTTTTATACATCAATAGGGATCTATGGTACCATAAGTTATCATATACATCAACACTGAAAAGTATAAATTTATTAGAGCAAATTTTGTTTGTGTTAGGTTACTCGTTTAAATTATAAATCACCAGAAGTAAAGATTAAAGGAAGAAATGAGATAATTTGGGCCTTCACCACTTAAGTAAGCATTGAGTAATCACTCTCAACTTCATATCTTGATTGAATCTATAGAATATAAGTAACCTTGTCAGTTAGAAAAACACTCATAGTAAATTAAATTACTTTCATTACTATGGAATTTTACTGATGGCAAAAGGTAGACTAACGTAAAGACGTAAAGAATAATCATTCATTTAAACAACACATTTTTACTATCATATTCTAATTAATTACTTTTCTAGGCTTTTACATTATCCTAAGCATTTTGACTAACATAAAAAACCTGTTATACGTAAACCAGTTAACTGAAATTAACTTTCGTTGTTCTGACAAATCATGAATTATTATTTTGTCAATTTATAAAAAAAAACGCTTACCTATCAGTTTCTTTTCTTTAAATTCAATACAGGCAGTTGTTACTAGAAGTATGCTTAAGGATTTGTAATCGTGAACTATGACATTTATACTAAATATAGTTAAGATAGATTACAATATTGTATTCATTCATTTTTAAGATGAATTGAATTGTGACAACTATTTGTAAATGGTAAATAATTCAAACTGGATGGTTTTAATTAAAATGATATAAATTAACAAAAATGATTTTCATTCCAAATGAATGTGTTTATATATATAATTGATTAGCACTGTCAAACTAGTCAACTTTTATATTCATTACATCTGTCGAAAGATAAACAAACAAACATGTCATTCAAAGGGGTTTTTGTGGAGATTTAGTATTTGCATAGTTGAAAGTATGAGTCAATTGAAGCTAGACCACTAAGGAAAACCTGGAAGCACTGGCCGGTTGTTTCGTCCTATTGTGAGACTCCTCAGCAGTGCGCATCCACGACCTAGACTCGTGAGATTCGAACCCAGAACCCACTGGTCTTGCGCCTATGCAAAATTATGCAAATACTAAATCTCCACATAAACCCCCCTTATAATCATTTTCTCACTAGTGACTGACTTCAAGAGATAATTCCTGGAATTCTAGTGAGAAGCAGTGACAATCGGTGAACGGTTGTTCAACTTCGTGGAAACATGTCATTGATTCATCCAAACGAAATTGTTCAACTAATATATCACTAATATTTTGCTTGTTTCCATATAATTAAATGTTTACTATAAATCAACAGTTTGATGATTATTAAAATATCTTATGATATCAACTGAATATCCTGTTTTTATTTCAAATGTTTTTAAAAAAATGAAATTAATTAACTCAACGAAAATATTCATTTTAAAATTAATGATAGATGAGCTCTATAACAGAATAGTTAACTCATATTCTTTCTCTTTCTTTATAGATTAATTTGAGAGGAATATTTAGTTTATTTGATCTGTAACTTTGTAGCCATAAATCAAGCTGACTCATGAAAATATTTAAATAATTACGGTTACTTTCCCATCAAACTAGATAAAGAGTATTGGTGCTGTAAACATCGATTGGATTATTTCAGTTTAAAGTGAATTGTTTCACTGAAATATTGGACGAATTTAATTAACTTAATTCAAATATTTATCAACTGAATGGAATTCAAGCACTATGCATCAACTTCATTGACTACAAGAAAGCATTTGATAGCGTGGACAGGACAAAACCATGGAGACTTCTTCGACTATATGGCGTGCCTGAGAAGATAGTCAATATCATACGGAATTCCTATGATGGATTAAACTGCAAAGTCGTTCATGGAGGACAACTCACCGACTCATTCGAGGTAAAGACCGGTGTCAGGCAAGGTTGCTTACACTAACCCTTTCTCTTTCTCCTGATGATCGACTGGATTATGGAGACGTCAACATCTGGAGGAAGTACGGGATACTGTGGATAGTTAGGATACAGCTGGACGATTTAGACTTTGCAGATGATCTGGCTCTTCTATCACACACGCAACAAGGAGAAGACGACCACTGTAGTAGCAGCCTCAACAGCAGTAGGTTTCAACATACATGAAGAGAAAAGCAAGATTCTCCGATACTTACAATGTACATCAATCGAATGTCACTTGACGGAGAAGCTTTGGAGGGTGTAAAAACCTTTACATATCTGGGCAGCATCACTGACGAACACGGTGGATATGATGCAGATGTGAGGGCGCGGATCGGTGAAGCAAAAACAGCATATTTACAACTGAAAAACATCTGGAGCTCAAAACAATTGTCAACCAACACCAAAGTCAGAACTTTGAATACAAATGTCAAGAGAGTTCTACTGTATGGGGCGGAGACGTGGAGAACTACGAAAGCCATTATCCAGAAGATACAGGTGTTTATCAACAGTTATCTACGCAAGATAATTCAGATCTGTTGGCCAGACACTATCAGCAACATTCAACTGTGGGAGAGAATACACGAGATTTCAGTGGAGGAAGAAATCAGGAAGAACTGCTGGAAATGGTTAAGACACACTTTGAGGAAATCACCCAAATGCATTACAAGTCAATCTTTCACATGAAATCCTGAAGGCCGAAGGAGGAGAGGAAGACCAAGGAATACATTACGCCAAGAAACGGAGACAGACATGAGAAGAATGAACAAAAATTGTATAGAACTAGAAAGGGGGACCGAGGACAGAGTGTGTTGGAGAATGCTGGTCAGTAGCCTGTGCTCCAATGGGAGTAACAGGAGTAAGTTAGTAAGTAATTCAAATATTTCACTTTCTGACAATTACTAGCGTTTAATATTGTTACTTAACTTAAATTGATATGGTTTGCGAAGTGTTAATCAACGAGTTCACATAATGTTACATTTTTTAAAACCATAACAGTGAATGTTATTCTTAGCTATTAATACATGTATAACCAATGAAATTACTTTAAATATCGCTCTGAGTCAGTTTTACTGTGATTTCATGTATCTTTACTAAAATGTAAATTCATGAATATTAAAATTTATTTTGAAGTACGACTGTTACTTATAATTTATTTTATTTATCACATATTACAATGCAGCTCAGTATGTGCATGTTTTGTTTATCTATTCTGACTATATTGACTTCCAATGTTTCTACTTCAATTATAGGACTTACCACAAAGTATACCAGAAGAATTTCGTGATACAAATAATCCAAGCAAATATGATACAACTAATACTAATTCTGATAAAAATGAATTGACACTAAATAGCGTACATCATACTACTAATTCTTTTCAACAATTAAACAAGGGAATATTGTTCTCTCTTAATACACAAAATAAATCTACTGATACTATAATGAATTCAATTTCACAGTTTAGTTTTTCTAAAGAAGTAGGTTCAGTAGATAATTTAAATCGTAAAGAATTTCAAGAAAATCTTCTTCATTCATCCACAGAAATTATCAATGAAAAACAATCTACATCATCATTAGAATTAACTCCAAATATCTTTAGAACAGTTAAAGAATTTACAAGATATTGGTTACCGATTCAAGGACGTATACATGATGAATGTTTAAATCTAATGAAAGCATTACATAATGATGATACAATGAATTCATCACATTTAATAGCTCCATTATTTACACAATTAAACAATGAATTTATAATTATTAGTCAATTATGTACAGTTATGATTGGTCTTTCTAAACAAACATCATTAGATAATGGTTTAACTCATAAGTTTATTATATATCGTCAAAATATGGAGAATTTAGCTGAATTATTTATTAAATTATCAAAAAATATCAATGGCCAATATCAAAAATTTGATAAGCAATCCATCAATGCCATTCATTTAAATAATAATGACAATAGTATTGAAGAGAGCAAAACTTTACTTGAACAAACTATTCAACAATTACTTACTGAAGTCAATTTATTTTATACAATAATTTTAGCTAATTCTAAAATTCTATTTCATTATTCAATGAATAGATCTCCTGAATCCAATCGAAAATGTTCTTCTTTAACAAAAGAAGAAACAAATATGTTTCATAAATTAAATACATCAATTCCTTCATTGTCTATGCCTTCTTTTAATTCTTCATTAAATATTTCAAATAATAATAAACAAAAGTTTTTATCAAAATCTTATGAATTTATTAATACTTTATCTAATTCAAATCAAAAAATAATGCCGGGAAATTTAAATTTTCAAAAATTATCACAATTTTGTTTAAATTCATTAAATATTATTGATAATTATTTAAATTATTTAATACAGTTTCAAAATGATACTATAAATATTTATTCATCATATTTTAAAAAAAATAATCTTTCTATACAATCTATTATAGAACAAACTAAAATGGTAATGGAATCATCTAGTCAATTAATATGTTATACAATGTCTATTTATAATCAATTAAAACCATTATCATCTGTATATAATATCAATGATCATAATCATTTAGATACATTATCATCTACAAGTTTATCAAGAAAACTAGAGTATATGATTGATAAACTTTGTGAATCTTTAAAAGGTTTAGTAATACTAACTAAAGAGATAGCAAAATTTCTTACAAATGAATTTGAAATTATTCCATCTAATAAAATTATCCCAATACCTGGTCCATTATTACAACGTTTAAATGGTGCGCTGAAATCAGTTCAAAATTCAATTAAAACGATTTATGAATTAACAAAAAATGAATTTCGAAAACAATAATTATCAGTATTCATCTAACGCATGGATTAGAGAAGATTAGATTTATGAAATTCCATTTGTGAGGTCATCTAGTTTTCTAACAAATCATTAGTGGATGTCATGTCTAAATGACGCATGTATACATAAACATATAAATAAACTCATATCATGAATACCATAACATTATTTAAAGAATTCATGAAGTAGTTATTCGTAATTTATCTTATTGTGTCTACAATTCAATTGGGGGCTTATATCTTGAATTGTAATTGAAAAACAAACGATTATGCATTTTCATTTCGTTTTTACGTCTTTGTACTAAATTTTTTCTTCAAAAATCAATCATTAGTGAATATATATGAGTTAGTTTTCATTTTGTTGCCAATCATTCTTTATTTTTTATTATGACAACATTTCTCCATACTAACAAACACATTTTATATTGAAAGCCGGTGGTTGTATTTAAGCCCGATTCTTCAGCATTTTTTCATTATTAGTTTGTCATATTATGCATCGGGATTTGTATGTTCGATTCTTACCTATTGTGACGCTTGAGCATGTGTTAGTCCTTAAAATTTTGCTGAACAGAGGGATTGGAAATAAATAAATAGCTTACATAAAGCACTCTTGTCACACGGTTTCTTCACAAATTAATTTCAAATACCATGGCTTTAGTGGCGTATAAGATAGTTATCTTCAAAAGAGACTTTTTGGTTTGACATCATAATGCATGAAGTCAGCGAAGACAGAAGAACTACAGTAACAAAGGTGGTACTGTATGAGTACTTGGCTATATCACAGATTGACTTAAGTCAGAATGTTGAATGATCGGATCATAACTCAGTAGTCGACAGGTGTCTCGTTTTCGATCAGATATGTTATTCATTAGTTTGATATTATGTGATATTGGCAGCACACTCCTTAAGAGTCCTCAAGTAGCTCATGTAGTGTGTTCTGTATCTCCTGGTTCCGCAGACAGTCCTCCGACCAACTTCAGTTCCTAATAAAAGTTATTTTCAAATTACCTATAATCTCTACAAAACCATCTTCGGAAATAATAGAGAAATCACAAAAAACACGTTTTCTCCCCAATTAATTTTGCATTTTACTCTTGTTCTTTTAGAACTATTAAAGTTATTTCACAGATAACGTGGTAGATTCAAGTTGAAGTATAGCTCAATGAAGTGATAGCAGTGGTCTTCTCCTACACTTCTTTTTGGTTACTCAAATATGCTTTGAGAAAACAAATCTAAAATATGTAAAGCACATTTGTCTTAAGAATTTCCTACATTAACCCAAAAAGTGGTATTTTATATATATCTGACCAAACCTTTACAACACATCATCAAAAGGAAAGTAACTAGCCCGCAGAAAATATTCCCGTATCTGGTTGAAAAGAGGGAGAAATCTAGTTAATACACAAGGGAGAACTTACTTAAGGAGAATAATAGTGGTTTGAACTGCTATATTTTGTCTCGATTATGCCACAGATACAAAAATGACATCTCGTAATGCCCAGTAAAAGTCGATTGGATCTCTAAGTGAAGACAAAATAAAATAGTTCATAATCACTTTGGTTATCTCAAGTAGTAGCGGTCAGTGTAATCAGAAATGTCAATATGGACACTGACGTTAGTTCATAATCACTTAAGGTTTAGGATCATTAGATAAGGGTTATTGAGAAGACTTCAGTAAGTCTTACATAATTTTCTTCAGAGGCGTCTAAAATTATGGCAAGGAATTACTAACCAGTGATAATGAGCTATCAGCAGGGTTATGAAAACCGTAGAATATTCTGGCTGGCTTTATTGTTTCGCGAAATACATCTGAATTCTTTCTATATTTTACATATTATAATAGGTATTTAGTTCTGTATACTTGGAGTTCAAACAATGTGTCTTTTCACTTAATATTAAGTTTCATTTTGATTTATTATTTGAACCTACTTATGTTTGGCAACTGACCAACTTTTGATTCAAGGTTTACATTAGTTTTAATAAGAAGTCCCTATTCGTAAAGAGGCATATTTTTAGTGCGTCTTGGTTTCTAATGTATTTTTCCAACTGATCCCAGTTCTTGATAAGACCTGCCTTCAGAAGACATCACTAAAGGCTGAAAGGGAAAACAAACTAATAGTTAAGCTAACGAATACATCTGCAGTCGTCTTTAAAAAAAATTCAAAATTCGATTGACCTCAAACGACTCAAAAATGTTCCTAAACTTTAATACAGCTAAACATCACGCTTAGATTTTATTTGCATTTTTGAACTACTCATTAGTAGTGTAAATGCATTTGGGAAACGAATAAGCCAATTCAAATGAGTCATCACAATTAATTTATAGATATTATAAATGTCCGATCCACTTCCAACGTTTTTTCCTAATTTCCTCTTCAGCTGGAAGCTGGTTTGTCTTCTCCAATAAAACGCTGTTGCTGATAGTATCCGGTCAGTGAATGTTGAGTATTTTGCGTAAACAACTGTTTATAAATCCTTGTACCTTCTTGACAATGGATTTAGTAGTTCTCCGCGTTTCAGCTCCATACAATAGGACCGTTTTGACGTTCGTATTCAAGACTCTCACTTTGAAATTAGTTGACAGTTATTTTGAGTTCCATATGTTCTTCAATTGTAGAAATGCTGTCCTTGCTTTTCCAATCCTTCTTCTTATTACACGATCGAAATTTATCAAAGTGGCTAATTGCTTCATATTCTTACGACATAATATTTATAATGGAAAGTTGCTAAGATATTTAAAACTAATGGCAATGTAATTTCTTTAGTTTTAGTATAATATTTTACTTCATATCAAAGTGAAAAAACTAAACTTAAATGAACAATCCTTGTTTTTTCTTATCCAGAATGTATTATGTAATAAAATTCCCAACTGAATTAAGCCATCAGATATCCAGCTTATCCTTAGTTGTGATTATACTATAACTATAAAATCATATAATAAGTCATGATGGAATTGTAAATATACGTTAATAATAAACATTAGATACTTTTAGCAACTAATTATAATTTGAATTTCTTAAAAGATATCAGTTCCTTCAAGATTGGAAGTGAGCTTCGCTAACGGATGCTAGCTATTACAAAACCTTTTTTCATAGTTCTTAACAAACTAGCACCGATCAAGTGTTATCAAATCATGGATCATGTGGTCTAGAATTAATTAGACAAGTGCGCATATAGTCATTTGAGCTGCAAAGTTCTATCTATACTAATGACTGAGCAGACATTACACTAACTATTTCTCAGTAATCATTTAATGTTCTTATACTTATCACTTATGTTTCATTATTGTTAGAACACATGTGATTTAGATGATAAATAAGGGGTCAGCTACTCAGTTAGAATGGACAATATAGACATGGTACGTTTACTAATGAGAGAAATTTTAGGCAAAACATTCTTGAATTTGTTTTCATATACATCAGTGTAACTTTGAAGTGAAACGAAGTGTTCCTTAAATACTTTTAAAATAAGAGATAATACTGATTGATAATCTTCAAAATCTTTTTATGACAGTACTGACAAGGAGTTCTGTATGAATGATCTATTAAAAATAACTGTACATAAAGAATCCTGAAATCACACAGAAATCGAAACTATTCGTTATTTTTATCAGTCATCAATGTAAGTCAATATTCTTTATTTGTTGCATTTGTTCCCAAGTAGCTTTCTATATGTTACAGTGCAAAATTAGACAACCATTAATTACCTAATGTCTAATAGAAGTGCGCGCAAACACAAAATGCTGCAAGTCACATCAGCACAACAAGAGTAGATTTAAAAAATAACAAGCCCAAGACTTGATGTAATACCAGTGGTAGAGGAAAACTAAGTATAAGAATTGAAGTTAAAAAGTTCCGTGTAAAAAACAGGAAGATAACAAGAATAAAATATAGTATAACCAAAAATTTCGAAAACAGAATGACGATGTTTAATTTATGGTTACTGATTTCGGGTCAAGCCACCCAAAGCCTGTAACTATTGACAACAATCATTTCATTGAATCCACCCAGGAAGTTTTTACCTCCAAAAACAACTCAGTTCAACATTTAATGACATGAACTTATGTCGTATCTTAATGTAATGTAAAAAGTAAAGCAGAGTTCTAAATAAGGTGATTTTTGACTGGAAATCAGCAAATTATATCAGCTCTTTCTATCAGGTTCTCATTAGTAATGTAATTAGATTCGTTTAATATGGATATATTTACATTAAAATAAAAGCTGTTCAAAACAGGGATATATTCGTAGCCACAGTATTTTGATAGTTAAAAGTAGGACATTAATTTATTAAACACCAAATTCTTAATGGATTGTTTTTGGCTGTGGTTTTATCTCAATGCTTATTACTATATTTTATGTTTACTTTTTGTAATTTTGAAGTTAAATTTTCCTTATCAAACTCTTCACCATCAGATGCTCATCATTTTCTTATCGACGGAAAGCATGATAAAAGGACGCTTCATTTAGTTTGTTACGCTTCTCTGAGATATCATTTTTGTAAAGTGCTCTAAATGGGAACAATAAGTGTATTTACACTCAATGGTGTTTAGTTAAGCTCACCTTTCTATAGTAATCATAAACTTCGATTCGAGATTTCACCTCTTTAATGACTTTGAGGCTGAGAGAAGGAGCATAAATTTCTCCAAGTCCATTAGTCATAGAGACAGAAGTTATATGAATCTAGTAGTATAATCAAGACGGATTAATTGCATAATTTGTATTTATTATGAATACAGGCGTTTAAATAAACTATTGTCATAAACATAATTTTAATCACATTATTCAGACTGATGCTATCAACAAAGATATTATCGATCAGAAGGGGTTTTTCTGGATATTTTAATATTTTCATAGTTGAAATCATGAGTCAATTAAAGAAGGAGTCCCATAATAAGACGAAACGGCCGTCCAGTGCTTCCAAGTTTTCCATGGTGGTCTAGCTTCAATTGACTCATGATTTCGACTATGAAAAAAACATTATCATTCGTTTTTTTAAAATTCGCTTAAAGAGTTTGATTTATACTATAGTTCTTGTTATTTGTGTAATCATTTCTTGAATTCAGAATCTTCTGTTATATGAATCGATACATTTAAGATTCTTTCTTATCTATGTAGGATTCTCTTAATTTTCTACACTGTCTGATCATTTGAATTTTAGGTTAGAAAAGCCTTCTTCATAGTAAAAAAAATTCTAATATTCATACTAATTAGTTCTATTCTATTATTACTACTTAAAAACCTGCGAGTAGCCAAAAAAATAAAAACCTAGTTACTCGAAATGCAGTTTGGTTTAAAGTTTAAACTGTTTATTGTAACGTGAAATTAAATCTCCAGTTTCTGATGAGTAGACAATTATTTGACTTTTCAGATTTTTTACAATCTCACTAAACTGAGATATTGTGTACATTCTCTTCATTCTATTACGTAGTCTATAGTAAAGTATCTAGAATAAATTTTGCTCGATATTCAGATCCGTTGTCTTATCAGATAGATCTTTACTAGTCACCTCATTATTACAGAGTTTAAGTGTCGAGGGAGTTGTATTACGTAGGCCAAGTGCTAGAATTTTAATCTCATTGAACTTACTTAAAGTACAACAACCGGACAAATAGTATACTTTATTAACCGAAGCAGCCTATTGAAAAGAATAGTAGTCTCTAGGGAGAGTGGTTTTAAAGAATTAATCGTTAGTGAAGTAGATTTATTTCAGAGGGTCATATCAAAGTCGATGAAATTTGATGTAGTCAGAATAGTAGTCTATTAATTTATATTGTATTCAAGGTTATTTAGCCGTGAATTTCTGGCATCACTGCGATTAGTAAAACTGATCGTAAACGACAAACCATTTACATTCAATGATGAATTGAATCCAAGTCAAAAATAAATCAGCTGATGAATGGGTACTAAGGTAGCAAAAATCAATAAAAATTAGTATGATTTGTCAATATGATAAATCGTATTTTAATGACCTTCTCATCTAGTTATATAAGAATAACTATGAAAATAGTAAAATATAATCTATTAGTAATAATTCTTATAAGTCAATCTGCTTTCCTAATAATAATCCTTTTTTTAAGTAAACGTTATGGGTTAAGAAAAAAAACCTTCACAGTTACATAAACTATTGAATCTATTAGGCTAGGAACAGTAAATTATTTTGATTCTTCATTATATCACTTAATAGAATTATATACCATATGCTATTAAACTTTGAATACAGAGCATATACAGAAATTTTCTTACAAATCAACAACAAAAATTTAATAATTAATTTTAATTATTTTGTTGATAAACTTAGCTATTTTCTTTTTCTTATGAACTTTACAGTGTAGTATACTCGTAAGTTACTAGTATTTGACCACAGATGTCTTAGAAATATTACTCGCATCTGCTGGCATCACCGGGTCAATAAGTAATAGTGAGGTTAGACACAGGGTATTAGGGAACGATGGTAAATCAGTTGATGATGTCATGGACATTCATCAACTGAGATGGTTGGGCCACGTGTTACGTATGCCTGAACACCGATTACCACGACGAGCTACGCTGACTAGTATTGACGATGGTTGAAAAAGAGTTAGGGCGGCCAAACCAAAACATGACATCAGTGCTTGAACTTATTAACTTCTAGTCTGAGCCATGTTGATAGATGCAGATTACTTAGTTGCGGTCCACGTGACTATCGTAACCAATGGTTGGAGATTCTAGGTGACATGGCTCAGAATCGATCACAATGGCGTAGGTGTATACACTTTTTATCTTCCCTTAAACCTTGAGACTAAAATTGCTTCATATCTCTCTTCCTTCCTGTACTATAT